CCAAGAATCACTCCCTGTGCTGTGTGGGCTCCCTTGTTTAATCCATAGGGCAGCCCTGTGAGATGGTGTGGACCTGGCTCTGAACAGCTTAGCTTCTCGTTCCTATTAAGCTGTGTGATCTTAGACAAGTTACTTAACCTCTCTGTGCCTGTTTCTGTGTCTGTAAAAATGAGTCGATTAACAACAGTGCCTGTGGGGAGCATTCATAACTCATGATACCAGCAGTGTAAGTGTAGCTATTACTGTAGTTTTGTGCCATGCTCAATGTTACTGGTGGGGAAATGGACACATTAAGGAATTTGTCAAAAGTCAGAGAGAGGCAATGGCAGAGCAGTGCTGTGGAACAGAACCTCACTGGGAGGACCTGCTCTATCGTTACACTCTACCCGTGACAACACGTGCCAACTGAACACCAGAAATGCAGCTGGGGGGGGGCTGAATTTTATGATTAATTTCATTTTGATTACTTTTTGTTGTTAATTTGCAGTCCTGGGGATTGAACTCAGGGATTTGCACTTGCGCCACACCCCCAAGTCTTTTTGCTTTTAATTTGTTGTTTTCTTTTTTTTTTTTTTTCAGATAGGGTCTTGTGTTTTTTGCTGCACTTGGCCTGGAACCGATCTTCCTACCTCTCCCTCCCGAGTAGCTGGGATTACAGGTGTGCACCACCACACCTGTTGTTGGTTTTGATTAGTTTTACCTGTAGTCTAGGAGATATGGGGGTCTAGAGACTTCTGTTGAGCAGAGCAGTCAGAGTCAGGGTTGAAACTGCAGTAAGGCAGCAGTGCCGGTGCCACTGTGGACTACACATGGCTTTCTTGCTTCAGTCTTACTGTGGAAACCTGGAGTGTATCCAAGATCAAAGAAAACACTAATGAATCTTCTCAGCCCAACAGCTGAAGAAACCAGATCGTTTTTCCTTTTTTTTTTTTTTTTTGGTGGCACTGGGGATTGAACTCAAGGCCTCATGCTTGCTAGGCAGATGCTCTTACTGCTTGAGCCACTCCGACAGCCCTTTTTTGTGATGGGTTTTTTCAAGATAGGGTCTTATGAATTATTTGCCTGGGCTGGCTTCTGCCTCCTGAGTAGCTAGGATTACAGCGTGAGCCACCAGCACCCAGCACACTTTTCATTTTTTATTGTGCTAAAGTTACACATAGCATGGTATTTGCCATGTTAACCTTGCTTTGTATGTGGGGGAGGGGTTGGTGGTACTGGGATTTGAACTCGGGGCCTCACACTTGTTTGGCGGGTGCCATAACACTTGAGCTACTCTGCCAGCTCGTTTTTATGCTGGCTATTTTTTGAGATAGGATCTTGAGAACTATTTGCTAGGGGCCGGCTTGGAACTGCGATCCTCCTGATCTCTGCCTCCCAAGTAGCTAGTGTTACAGGCATGAAGCCACCGACACCCATGTTAACCTGTTTCAAGTGTAGAGTTCAAGTTCTTGTGCAACTATCACTACCATCCATCTCTAGAACTCTTCATCTTGTAAAACCAAAACTAAACCCATTGAAACATAACTCCTCATCCACCGTCCCCATCCACTCCCGCTGCTCTCCTGCCCAGCCCACCTGTCTGTTTCTGATTTTGACTACCTCACAGAAGTGGAATCCTAGAGTTTCTGTGACTGGCTTTTTCATTCAGCATAAGGTTCATCCATGTTGTAGCACATCTCAGCACATCCTTCCTTTTGAAAGCTGAATAATATTCCACTGTACGTCTGTACAGATGGACATCTAGGTTGCTTCCTTGTTGGTATTGAGAATAACATGGCTGCCAGTTCTTTAGGATATATGTCCAGAACTGGAATTGCTGGATCACGTGGAAATTGTATCTTTAATTTGTGGTTGTTGTTGTTGAAGAACTACTGTACAATTTCCCTGGTGCCTACACCATTTCAGAGTCCCACCAACGGTGCACAGGATTCTGACTTCATTTCTTCATCAGCACTCATGATTTTCTGGGTTTTTGTCTTTATCATAGCCATCTATGGAGTGTAGCTCAGTGGTAGAGCACTCACCTAGCATGGACAAGTCCCTGGGTTTAATCCCCAGCACTACAGAAAAAGAAGCTGGGGCGGGGGTCAGGGAGAGCGAGAAATAGCTGAGATTTTAAGTGCTTGCTTAGCATGTGTGGGGAAGCCACAGGTCCAATCCCTAGCAACAAGAAAAATAAGTGAAAATTGGCAATAGCCACCCTAATCGGTGTGAGGTGGCATCTCCATGCGGTTTTAACTGGCGTTTCTCTAATGATTAGGGACACTGAGCATCTCACAGGCCTAGTGGCCATTGCTGCGTCTTCTTTGGAGAAGCCCGTCCTCATGTCTGTTGCTGTGCCCTTAATCGGACTGTCTTCTTTGCTCTGGGTTTCAGGGGCTCTGTCTTGTGTTCTGTGTATCCATTCCTTACCAGGTGCACGATTTGCAGGTGTCATGTCCCGCCCCCCCCATCCCCTAGGTTGCCCTTTTATTGCTGGTAGCATCCTTGTGACACAGAAGAGTTAGTGGTCGTGAAGTCAGATCTGTTTATTTTCCTGTCCTTGCCTGTGCATTTGGTGTCAAATCTAAGGTCATAAAACTTTTGCCATGTGTTTTTTTCTAAGAGTTTTGTAATTCCATATTTTTGGCAAGATCGCTTCCTGAGGAGTGCTGGATTCTCCCTACAGCTTTGTCCTCGGCAGCCCTGAATCCTGGGCATCATCTCTATGAGACCAAGATTGGTTAGCCAGTTCAGGTGCTGCCAGCTGACCAACGCATCACACCAGAGCGCCTCAGCCTGGCCGCTCAGCCATGGGGAAACACAGCGTGCTGGGCCCCGTTCAGTGGATGTGGGGCAAGGCCTGAGAGTTTTAAGACCGCTGGTGATGACACCCAAATGCACCCGAGGAGCGAGAGCATGCTAGGGCCTGAACCCCATACCCAGTGAAGGATTTTTTAAAGTTAATTAATTAACTTATGTATTTATTTGCTTACTTAGCTATTTAGAAACAAGGTCTCACTGTGTAGCCTGAGCTGGTCTTGAACTCTCAGTCCTTCTGCCTTGGTTTCCACAGGATTATGATTACGGGCATAAACCACCACACCCAGCTAAGTAGAATGACTTTACTCTTGTACTCGGGTTAATAATCTCTTCTTTTCTTTCTTTCTTTTTTTTAGCAGTGCTGGGGTTTGAACTAAGGAACTCATGCTTTCTAGGCAGGCACTCTGCCACTTAAGTACTCCACCAGCCCTTTTTTGTGTTGGGTATTTTCAAGATAGGGTCTTACAAACTCTTTGCCCAGGGCTGGTTTTGAACCGGGATCCTCTTGATCTCTGCCTCCTGAGTAACTAGGATTACAGGGGTGAACCACCACTACCCAACATCCTTTTTCATTTTAAACTGTGTGGGTAACTTGGGGTTCTAATCTTCTTCCTCTGTTAACTGAGGCTCTGACAGATGTGGTTCAGACCTTCCCACGAGCCTCTACATCCACAAAGTCAAATGCTAAGAAGGAAAAAAAGAAAAGAAAACTGGATAAATTAGATGTGAAACCACAAACTCACACTGGGATGATGGTAGCTGGCAGCGCCAGATCCGACCCATTCCCGGTGGCCAAAGACTAAATGGGGTAATTTCATTCCTACCCTGAGGCTACCACAGTGAGGCTAATGAGTAATCGGAGGATTGGTGAGCACCACACCCACTGCGGGCACAGGCTCAGCCACCCTGTAGTGAACCCTTGTCCTGCAGTGATGTGAGAGCTGGGCGAGGAAGAGAGGCCTCTGGGAAGAGGCAGAAAAATTCTCCCTCTCTCACACACACACCACCACACCAGCAGCATGCAGGACTCAGCCTTCCCTTCCCAGCTGCACTGCAGCTACCAGTGATTTCAGTCAAGTCGCTTCCCTGCCCACCTCTCCTCCTCTCCCACCCCCACCCCGTTTTCCCACCGTTGAGTCGGGGCAATGACCTCCATCTGCCTCGAAGGGGTCTTGTAAGGGGCGGGACAGGCCCAGCTCTCCACCACTAGGCATTAAGAAGTGAACTTGAGAACACATTAAACCCAAGGATCACTAAATCCTTCTGGGGGTGGGGTTTTCACATCCCCTGAAGCCTAATCCCATGGCACTGGGCCCACTGAGCACGCACAGGGATAGCAGCCACAGATGGGGGACACCCTGCCCTGCTCCCCTCCTGAGGAGACTGCTGGGCTGGGACCTGGCTCACACCCATCCTGGTTGACAGACAAGCAGGCAGGTTTCTGCTTGTAGGGAAAGTGAAACTCTGGTTCTCTGATGACTGAGTCACTGGAGCCAAGCACACATGGTCCAGGAGTGCACAGCCCAGAGAGTGCAGGGCCCTGAAGCTCACTGGTGAATGCAGTGTTCACATGCACAGGATTCACATGGGTGCGCATGGCTCGTGTGCACGCTCAGAGGGACAGCTGGCCTTGGTAGGGCCACCCCACCCCTGCCTCTTAGCTTTCCTTCCTGGGCTGCTCCACCACCAACCAACTTCATCCCTGGAGGCCAACAGACCCCTTTCCAGAGGGGGGGACACTTAGCTTCATAACAGGTACTGTTGTTATCCCATTGTACAGACAAGAAAACTAGGCCTCCAGAGGCTAAGTCACTGCCCATCCAGTGGGTAAGAAACAGAACTGGATCTGGAGGCCTGGCCGGCCTGCTACAGACAGCACACTGGTACCCTTTTAGTTGGGCTTGGGCTTATCTGGTGAAATAGGGGTGGGGGAATGTGGCCAGTTCCCAGTGGTTTCTCTCCCTTTTTGTGATCCCACTCGAAGGGGTGAAAAACCTTAACATATCAGCAAACAGATCATGGTGGTTACACACCGTCTTGCTTCATCTCACTGAGTGTACAGAGGCTCGCTTGGTCGCCTTTGTAGCAGGTTACTGTTGTGCTCACTTCCTCTACTGTATTCTCAAGGTGAGATCTCCACATGTCCCACAGTCAGGAGCCTCATGCTTCTTGCCTCTTGTCCCGTTTGTCTCTGGTAGATGTCATGGCACCCCCAGTACCGGAGCTCCAAGTTCCGCCATGTCTTCGGCAAACCAGCCAGCAAGGAGAACTGCTACGACTCGGTGCCCATCACCCGCAGTGTCCATGACAACCACTTCTGTGCTGTGAACCCCCACTTCATTGCAGTTGTCACCGAGTGTGCTGGTGGTGGGGCCTTCCTCGTCATCCCCCTGAACCAGGTAAGCACACCTGGTAATCCCCAGGCCCTAACAGAAGGAAAGCAGGAAGGGTTTCTAGTCCTGGATGTGATCCAAGCCCTTGCTGTGCCTATGCTAGTTGTGTGACTTTGGGTAAATCATTTCATCTCTTTGAGCCTTGATTCCCTTCTGGAGAAAATCAGCCTGTCCTGGGACTTCAGCCTCCAGAGCTGGCCTTGGTGCTCCTAGGGCCTCCTTTCATGCTGCAAAACAATGCTGCAAGTTCTCGCCTACATAAAATACAATTTCCAGTGCTTTGCTGGGCTCGCATGGAACTGGGAAAATCACCAAAGCCACCTTGCCCAGCTATGAAAAAAGGGAAGCAAACCCTCGGCCAGAACCACTCACCAGGAGAGGTGAGTGGTTAGCCAACGGGGGCTTGTCCTTGGGGAAAGTGGTATTGGCATGGGTGGGACCAGGTCCCAGTGCTCATATCCAGTATTTCCCACACCAAAAAGTGACAGCTTGATGTAGTCACCTCAGGGGCAGATCTTTCTAGGATATAAAGCTGAGCACCTGAAGGGGCTGGACAGCTGGAGGGTTGCTGGTACCTCTGGCTCACAGCAGAAGTAGCCGTGAAGCCCTCTGGGGGAGGCTGCGCACAGACTCAGGTCAGGAAGTGGGAGTTCACAGGAGCACCAAGCCTTCTGGCATGTACCCCACCTCAAGTAGACTCAGAGGAACTGGCAAGTGCCAAACCTGGACCCCTAAAGGGCTCAGCAGTTAACATTATAAACACAGACTAGAATCCCATAGACCAAGATTTCTCTTTATTTACTTTGGCAGCACTGGGGTTTGAACTCAGGGCCTCACACTTACTCAGTCAGGTCTCTACCACTTGAGCCACTCTACTGGCCCCTTTTAGTGATGGATATTTTTGAGATAGGTTCTCACGTTTTTTGCCTGGACTGGCCTCAAACCACGATCCTCCTGATATCTGCCTCCTGAGTAGCTAGGATTACAACTGTGAGGTGCCAGTGCTTGTCTAGACCAGGTTTTCTGATCATAATGCATTTGGCTTAGAAATCAGTAACACATGAGAAGAGTTAAATTCCCACTCATTCTCTAATTTTTTTTTTTCAGTACTGGGGTTTGAACTCAGGCTTCTTACTTGCTAGGCAGGTGCTGGGATGACAGGTGTGTACTATCACACACGGCCTTTGCAAACATATTTCTTAATAACTTACAGGTTAAAGAGGAAATCAAATGGAATTTGCTTATTTATTACTGCAGTGCTGGAGATTGAACCCAGAGTCTTGTGCACGCTAGAACAAGTGCTCCACCACTGAGTGCATCCCCAGCCCACACAGAGTAGAGGTTTAAAAATGCTTGTGATAAAGAAATGTATCACAAAATTTTTGGCATGCAGGGAACGTACTCCTATACTGATGTTTCTGTTAGAAAAAGACTGAAAAGTCAATATTCAACCTAAAAGGTTGAATACCAACTGATAAAAATCCAAAGACAGTTTGTAGAGCAGAAGTCAATGAAAGAGAACAGAAAAATGCCAAGAAAGCTGAAAGACAAACTAGTGAACAGGCCCCTGTCTACCAGAAACTGACCCGAGGGTAAAAGAGAGAAGTGAAGGGAACACCAGGAGCCAAAAGGCAGGAGAGCAGGAGCAGCGGATTTGGAATAGAATAGACACTAATTTGAAAACATGGACAAGAGGACATGTTTCACGCAGACATAGCCTGAGCTGGGGGAGTGGCTCACGTGGTAAAGCGCCTGCCTAGCAAGCATACGACCCTGAGTTCAAATCCCAGTGCCGCCAAAGAGAAAAGAAAAAAGCCTGACTAGTCTTACAACTATTTAACAATTTGAGCAATAAAAAAATTCCCTCAAAGAAAATACCAGAAAGGAAGGACAAGCTGTGGAATGGAAATGAGAAATCAGGGATATTTGCATAACAAAGAAAGAACTCTGTTCTAGTCTGGATTCTTTTGGCTTTGTTCTTTGGTTTGGTTTTGCGGTACTGGAGTTTGAACTCAGGACTTACACCTTCAGGTTTTTTCAAGATAGGGTCTTGAGAGCTATTTGCCTGAGCTGGCTTCAAGCTGCATCCTTCTGATCTTTACGTCCTGAGTAGTTAGGATGACAGGTGTGAACCACCGGCACCCAGCTCCTTTTGTTTTTTTGAAACAGGGTCTTATTATGTAGCCTGGCTGGCTTCAGACTTGCAATCCTCCTGCCTTAGCCTTCTGAGTGCTAAGATTATAGGCATGCACCACCATGCCTGGCTCTATAGTTTGAATCTTAAGGGCCTCACAAAAGCCCATGTGTACTGAAGATAGACACCATGAAAAAGAATAGAGTATTATTACATACGACAACCACACTTGGTTCCCCAGCACTATTGGAAGGTGGTAGAATCTTTAAGAAGGTAAGTCATTGAGGGCATGACTTTGAAAGGGCTTGGGGGACGCAGGCCCCTTCCTTTCTCTCTGCTTCCCAGCCACCATGAGGTAGACGACTTGGTCCAGCCCCCCTCCACGCCACGATGTGCTGCCTTATCACAGGCCCAAAAGTAACAGGGCCAATCCACCATAGACTGACCGTCCAAAGCTGTGAACCCAAAGAAACCTTTCCTCTTTTTAAGGTGATTATCATAAGTATTTTCTCACAGTCATAGAAAGCTGCCTAACATAGATGAAATAAACAACAAAGAACACAGCATACCTATGACCTAGAAATCCCACTCCTAGGTGTGTGGCTGGTGTGCACAGGAACAGAAGTGTCAGAATTTGCATGGGAGCATTGGTTGTATTATTGCAAGACTGGAAAAGCCACATGTTGAAGAACTCAGTAAATAAATTATTATCTCCACACGGCTGAATGTACACAACCACAAGAAGGAACATGGTTGAATCTCCTGTTCTGAAATAAACCGAACAAATTACAAGCTGTCTTATTCTACTTACCTCAAGTTAAAAAAACAGCCTACATTAAACTATATGATGAGGTCAGCATAATTAAGTGGTAATTTTTTTTTTTTTAAAGAAAAGCAAGGAAGGGGATTCCACAAAAGCCAGCATAATGGTTTCCCCTGGGGCAGGGAGCTGTGGGAATTGGCAAGTGTCTCATTAGAGGCCTCCTGACCTTGGAGTCAAGTTGGCTGTGACTTATTCCCTAATAGTTCGTTAGGGTCTACATGTACATTCTGTACTTTTGTGGGTTTGTTGTATTTCACATATCCATGCACTTAAGAGCGACTCCAGGCCTAGATGACTTTACAGTTCCTACAGAACTTTCATCTTTTACAGACTCTTCCATGAATAGGAAAAGAGGGACCATGCTCTTCATTTTTCAGAGAGGCCAGTGTAACTGTGACACCAAAACCAGACAAGAACAGGCACAAAAGTAGATCAACATCACTCATGAAGATGAGTGCCAAAATATTAGCAAAGGGAATCTAACCATGAATAAGAAAAGATACATCAGATCAACTTGGACTTATTCCAGAGACTGAGGGTGGCTTAATAGTGTTCACTCCACAGAGGCAAATCATCAGATTTACAAATGAAAGGAGGAAACTCAGCCAGTCTCCAGAGATGCAGAAAAAGCATTTGATAAATGCTTTTTTCCCACCCACAAGAAAAATCTCAGCAAACCAGGTGTGTTGGTCAGCTTCCGTGACTATGACTAATACCTGAGGCAGTCAACTTATGGAGAGGAAAGGATGGTTTGGCCTCACCATTTTAGAGGTTTCAGTCCACAATCTTTGGGCCTTCAGTGAGGTGATATATCATGGTGGAAACACACAGCAGAACAGGCTGCTCACTCATCACCCAGAAGCAGAAGGGAGAGGAAGGAAGGGACCAGGGCCTTGCAAACCCCTTTCTTTTTTGAGACAGGGTCTTACTATGTAGTCCAGGCAGGCCTCAAACCCCCAATCCTCCTGCTTCAGCCTCCCTAATGCTGGGGTTACAGGTGTATACCACCACATCTGGCTACCATCCCATTGAAGGTACACCCCCAATAACCTAAAGACCTCCCAGTAGGTCCCACCTTATAATGACTCCACCACCTCCCAGTAGCACCTCTATGGGGCTAAACCTTTAATGCAGACCCCTTGGGGAGAGTCCAGATATCACAGGTTTAGTGCCAGTGATAGAAGGCGTTATATAACCTTGCAAGCATCATTTCAAAAACTTCATTTCGAAACATTTGAGATTTGCAAATACAGTTGAATGAACTTCTCCTGATTCTTTTATCTGTTACTAAGATTTTTGCCAAACTTGCATTTTATTTGTGTATGTGTGTGTGTACACATAGAGAGTGGTGGCACTGGGGTTTGAACTCAGAGCCTCACACTTGCTAGCATGTGCTCTACTACTTGAGCCATGCCTGCAGCCCTTTTTTTTTTTTTGTGTTGGGTATTTTTGAGATAGGGTCTTATGAACTGTTTGCTCAGGGCTGGCTTTGAACCTTGATCCTCCTGATCTGTGCTTCCTGGGTAGCTAGGATTACAGGTGTGAGCCACCAGCATCTGGCTAAGTGTTTATTTGTTGGCACTAACATTTTGTGTGTGTGGGGTACTGGGATTTGAACTCAGGGCGTCGTGCTTGCTAGGCAGGTGCTCTACCACTTGAGCCCTCCTCCTCACTGGCATTAACATTTTTAAGAAGTAAAAGCCAGTGGTTTCATAGAATGTTTCCAAACTTGAGTTTGGCAGATTCTTTCACGATTTGACTCATTTATATATTTGGAACAACAAGATCACATACTTGATGTCGTCCCTTCTCAGTTCATTATGTCATGGGGACACACGATGTCATTTGGGCCCATTAGTGGTGGTGTGAACTCTGGTCTCTGGTAAATATGCAGACATGGTTCATGAAGGAAGGACGTTAGGAGCATCCTTCTGAAAAGTCATGGCCTGCACAGTAAGAGTAGAAAAATAATTTGAAACTGTTAGGGTGGAAGAGGAAGAACTAAAACTGCTCTGGTTACATATATGATTGTCTACAAGAAACTGATTG